CACTGGCTGCCGGGAGAAAACCTCCTGGCTCACACACCGAACCGTGACCTGCACTCTGCAGCACAGAATGGGAACCCCAGAGCTAGGAAACGGAGTTGTATATTTTAATGAACTGCCACCCCTGCTAAAGCAGCTTCTTTCACTTTTGTGCTCTACAGAAAGACCAAGGGGTGGGGGGAGGGAGGAGAGACAAAGCTTTGAATAACTGCTTTCTAACACCGAATGTGGCAAACAAGACAGAGAACATCACAAACATAGGCAGGTGTGTGGGACAGTGGCTAAGAATTGCCTGTTCCCTCCACATTGCCCTTTCTTGTCTACAAAGTCTGATCAAGTGATCCTGGGAAAGAAATCTGCCTGGGTTGGGGAGGATGGTTCAGAAAGAAGAAACTACCAAGACATTAAAGAAGGGTGAAGGGTAGGCAAGATATAAAAGTAACCTGACTCAAAACTCTCAAAAACTTCTAGCAGCTTGATGACAAATTACAGGATTTATTTCAGCCAGGATAACGTCTGTTTGTGGTACATCATTTAAGACAATATTACTTCATATTGTTACAAACTGTTTGTATAGTATGTACGTTCTGTGGATGTGTATATACATAATATATATTATATATATGAGAGATTTAGTGACTTTTGATACGGGTTTGGTGCAGGTGAATTTATTACTGAGCCAAATGAGGCACATACCGAGTCAGTAGTTCAAGTCCAGGGCATTCAATACTTTTTATGATTTCCATATATGTATACTGCCTGTCCCATGCAGTATAGTCACTGTCATGTTAAATCCAGAACTTACAAATCAGAGCCAGTGATATTTTATTTGTAGACAATCAACTTGAATCTATAAATTATTACTGGCAGTTGATTATAATTCTGAATCCATAACACTAACAAAAGCAAACCCAGAGCATCTTGATAAGAAGTTTTTGTTTTTGTTTTGTTCCTGGGAGTCAGTAGAACAGCAGTTGTATGTGGTTATGTTAGTCTCAAGATAATTTGTTGACCTTATTATTTCAGAATAATTTTGTATGTATTTGTGGGAAGGTAAAATAATGGTTTGAGATTTTTATCAAATATGGAGATTAGTTATTTATGAACAACAAAGAAATGTCTATTTTTGTTTCTTTGTTCCCAATTAATGTAGATAAATTTTAAAATGCATTAAAGCAATGGTAAAGAAAATAAAAAGATGCTGTAGACGTCTTTTTCTCCTCATGTTTTTATGGAGAGACACACTGCTTTCTAAGAGTATCTGAGGAGAGAAGTACTTAAAATATAAACAGCAAAAATTTTATTAGTAAATGAAATCCAGCCAATTCCAATCACCAGAAGCAGAGCTAATTAAAGCATGTTTTACTTGAATATACGTAGGTTTTTCCTGCCAATACTGCGTTTGTTTCATGATTCACTTGAAGAAATGAAGGGAGGTACACGGAAGAACAGAGTCATTGCCTGAGATTGCACCCTATTTTATAAACCCACCGTTTATACTGAACCTACTTGAATAGAGATGGTGCTGTTCTGTGTTTCTGGCTGGAGGGCAGGAACTCCCAAAACTTTTGCAGCAGTTGGATCCACAACTTGGTATTGAACTCTAAATACAAGTCGAGAAGCCAAGATGAGAAGGTAGAAACTGATTTAGGGTTGGCTCCTCCCTGATAATCTGGACAGATGCTTAGTAAACCTGAGACACTTGTCACACTACCTTCTACGGATGCTGCTTTGGTAAAATGCAGAGTAGTCACCAATCCAGCAAACAACCACCTCATTTTAATGCCTGGTGTGGCGATGTCCTGCAGCAATGCCGAGATGGGAGAATGTGGGAGAATGTGGGTAATTAGGAACTTAAAATGTTTAGGGGAGACAACACAAACCCAGTGAGAGGTGAGTTAGCAATGTGAGAGTACGCAATTCAGTGTCAGCGTGAGTGCTGTGAACTTTATTGGATTGGTACGTAAGTCAGGGCAGCTGGGAGAGGCAGACTAGAAAATAGAGTAGTTGGGCTGAGTCCTGGGAGAACAGCGAGTGTGCCTGACACGTGCGGGACTACAGTGGGTACGGACTACAGTGGGCACGTCTTCCCCATGCTTTCTCATCGCTCATTCCCGTCCCCCACCCCAAGCAGAAAAGGGACCAGGTGGAGGGCAGGGGGCAAAGTCACAGGCTGGAGCAGAAACTCTTAACTGTTGAACCTAGAAAGTTGGAGAAATAGGTGGGCCCAGGGTAATATTGGTAATAACGCTTCTTTTAGTGATTTAGAGAGCTCTGTAAGTTGTCACAGATGGAAACCGTGAAGTGGCAGAGTGGTTATGAGCAGACTTGGGAGCCAGGCTGATGGGGGTTTAAATGCCAGCTCCTCCATGTATGGGCTGTGTGATCCTTGACACTTAACCTCTTAGTGTCTCAGTTTTCTCATCTGTGAAAAAGGGATGATAATAATAGTACTTAGCTTTCAGAAGATTTAAAGGATTAAATCAGGCTACAGCAAAGTAAAGCAAGGAAGAAGCAGCTGTTCAGACATGGAATGGGAAAGGAGAGACTAGGTTTTTGAGTGTGCATAAGAATCATTTGGGGTTCCTGTTAAAAATATAGATTCCCAGGCCTCAGTTCCAGGAATTGAGATTCAGTAGCTCTGGGACCCACGAAGCTATTTTCTTAAAAAATAAACTTTCAATTTTGTAATAATTTAGATTTACAAAAAAAGTTGCCAAGATAATTAAGAGTTTCCGTATGCCCCTTACCCATATCCCAGTAATGTCAACATATTATCATGGTACATTTGTTAAAACTAACAATTCAACATTGGCACATTACAATTAACCCCAGACTTCACCAGATTTCCACTAATGTTCTTTATTTGTTCCAGGAGTCAATCCAGGATGCCACATTGCATTTAGAGAAGCTTCATTTTTCACAGGCTCTTTGAGCTTATGAGAGGCAGGTGGGCTGGGCACCACATCATTTAAAGGACCGAATGAAGTCAAGTTGTCCCATCCCCAAGTTGGGGAGGTGAATGCAATTTTGAAGCGGAAGGGAATACACTGGTGGAGGAGGTGGATATAGGAGGTTGATTTTAGAGTTAAGAGATGGAATCCCCTCCTTTAGATGAGAGGGTGTTACCTTAAAAACAAGGCATCCAATGCAAGATGAAATAGGTTTTGGAAGATGAAAATTCCACCTAGTCCTCAGCTGAGATTGAGAATGGATAAGAAGGGTCATGAGCAGGTCAAGAGAATTGGTAAGTGCAGTAGGTTGGGAACAGCTGCGTTAGGGAACACGGGAGGGCTCAAGTAGGTGATTAAAGGAGATTACAGGAGGCCAGTTAGCCTGGGAGTCATATAAAACCTGCATTTCCCGAAACCTGCTGCTAATGCTTTGGAAGTGAGTCACGGTACCCACCATCAAGCATTGCTGCATGGGACACTGGCAGAAAAGGTGAGGGTGAAGCTGGGATGCTTTTGTTGAGGGAGGGTCCTAAGGCACTTGGCTGATGCAGGGGGTGGACAAAACACTTGAAGCCCTACCTGTAGAAGAGTCAGCTCTCATAATGAGGAGATACAGGAGCCACCATCTTGTGGGCACCAGGTAAAGGTTTGTAGAATTGAAAATGTTAAAAAGATGAACCAATAGATTTTTGTTTTTTTGGAGACACAGTCTCACTCTGCTGCCCGGGCTAGAGTGCCGTGGCATCAGCCTAGCTCACAGCAACCTCAAACTCCTGGGTTCAAGCGATCCTTCTGCCTCAGCCTCCCGAGTAGCTGGGACTACAGGTACGTGCCACCATGCCCGGCTAATTTTTTCTATATATTTTTAGTTGTCCAATTAATTTCTATTTTTAGTAGAGATGGGGTCTCGCTCTTGCTCTGGCTGGTTTCGAACTCCTACCTTAAGCAATTCTCCCGCCTTGGCCTTCCAGAGTGCTAGGCGTGAGCCACCACACCTGACCCAATTTTTTTTTTTTTTTTTTAACTAGCAGACTAATCTGGGAATCCTTTTGAAGTACATACTACTAATATCCTATTGAGGACCTTAGGTTCTGGGACTATCACTGAATTTTCCTAATCACATTCAAATTACTTAACTCCCTTATAGCAATTATATCACCTAACCTGTTCCTTTTGAAAGAATGTTAACCTTTTTTCAATGGACTCAAGATTCCTCTTAATTTCTATACTGTTTCACTTTCCCAGTTAGTTGCTCTTCCTGCACCCTAGAGATCCTAAACCACAAACTGTTGTTCTTAAAATTTATTTCACATTAAGTACATGTGCTCTCACTTGCCAAACCCATTTAAAATAGTTCAGTGGAGATTGCCTTAGAAACCAAACAGATGGCTCCTGTGTACTAGGGGAACAGGCTTTCCCGAAGGGCTCCTAGAGCTTCTGTATTGCTTGCTCAAGGCATGTCAGGCCTGACCCCGCCCGTAAGTGGCTGGCAGTTAGACTTTAGGTAATCTATCCTTAATAGATGCTGGGTGTAATCTACAGATTCTCCTTAGAAACTGGCACTTACCTAGGAGGTAGCTCTGCTAGCTGTCAAGTGCTTTTCCAAGCAGTTCTACACTCAACAGTGCAGCTTTTGGGTGAAGGAACAGTCAAGTCACAGTCATCTTGGAGGTAAGGTTAGGGAACAGGGTTGGGTGATGACAGATTTTAACTAACCTGCATACTGCAGCTAAACTAGTTTCCAGAAGCACTGCATAATATGAATACAGAACGAAGACTGAATTGCTTGACAGTTAAAACTGGCTGTTGGCATTTTTAAGTCAAGGAATAATGTATTTAGAAATGTAGGAAAACTGGCTGGGTGTGATGGCTCACACCTGTATTCCTAGCACTCTGGGAGGAGGATCGTTTGAACTCAGGAGTTTGAGACCAGCCTGAGTAAAAGCGAGAGCCCGTCTCTATTAAAAAAATTAATTAGCTGGACAATTAAAAATATATAGAAAAAATTAGCCGGACATGGTGGCTAGTAGCTGGCCTGTAATCCCAGCTACTAGGGAGGCTGAGGCAGAAGGATTGCTTAAGCCCAGGAGTTTGAGGTTGCTGTGAGTTAGGCTGACGACGCGGCACTGTCAGGATTTAGTGACAATTGCTGAAGCTAAGTGGTTAGATTCTTTTTTCTAAAGAAACCTAATAGGGACTTGGTATTTTTAACTAAAACGTACGTCTGAAAGCAGCATGCTGGCCAGGCACGGTGGCTCATACCTGTAATCCCAGTACTTTGGGAGGCCAAGGTGGGAGGATCACTTGGGCCCAGAAGTTGGAGGTTACAGTGAACTATGACTATAGCCACTGCACTCCAGCCTGGGCAACAGAGCCCTGTGTCTTTAGAAAAGAACAGAGCATGTTAAAGTCAAATTATGTGGCTTGTTTTAAGTTACCCTCTGTACAGCAACCCTAATTCTAGTTCTTGTCCCTCTGTTCTCTTTCCTGTTTAACTGTCTAAAACCCTAATACCTCTTGTTCTAATTCTATACTTGTCCCGTAATTCCTTCCTCTTTGGTACATTTTACCTAATTTTAAATTCTAATGTGCTCTTCCCTCTTAGGCACAATAACCAACTATTCAAAGATGTCATTTAATGTACTGTGCCACTAAGAACTGTGGCCACTGATTTTTTTTTTTTTTTTTTTTTTTTTGGCCAGTGATTTTTAAGTGTAATAAGTTATCTTCAGGTTATAAATGGTCAGTTTAAAAATACTTTAAGATATATCAAGACTGACTTAAAACATTTAAGGTAGGCAGAGATGTAATGCTATATGAATAGAAGTGTTACAAATACACTAGCCATATTTTAATTAAAATAGAGTTTATTAGCTTTCTTTTAATATAAACATGAGAAATAAAAACCACGTAAATGTAGCATTCTTTTCAAAATAAAACTGCAATCAATACTTGAAACTCCAAGCTCTGAACAATGTTTTTTTGAGGTGGTAGATTGTAATATTTTATATACCATTATTTGTCATTTATGTCTTTGTCCTTTAGAGATGATGGAACCTGCAGCACTCAATGTAATGTGAAGCATTGCTGTATTGAGAGGAAGTATTCCTGTCCCAGAAATGTTTTGTTTACAGGCAAGATTCCTAGGATTACATTTGAGAAAATAGGAGAAATAAATTTCACAAGTTGAGAACACTAATCTTTTTTTAATATTTCAAATTTAGGTGACATTGTTGTCAGTCTTATAAAATTATTTACTCCCTGCCCTTTAAAGCCTGAATTAAGTGTTCCTAAGGCTTTACATAAGTTCTTAAATAGCAGGTCTTATAATGGGACACCTACAGCCAGGTTAACATGTAGGATAAAAAAGCTGTTTCATATTACCTACTACTATTAGGGTCCAATTCCTTTAAATTTATTAAATATAAATTAACACTTCTCTTCATAATCTTCCTTTACCAAATCCAGAAAAAGAAACTTAGGTGATCAAAACAGGTAGTGCACAGCCCTACAAGGAACTACTTTAAAAAAAAAAAAAAAAGAAGGGTGCTTCTAATGGAGATACAAGGTAATCCAAAAGTCTTAGTGTAATTTTAAGCTTTGATGCTGGTATAAATACAAAGTATCAAAAAAAATGTTTAAGTAGCTAGGGCTATAGGTACAAACCACCTCAACTGGCTTAGTTTTGCAAACTTTGAATATTAAGCTTTTAATTTTTTGTTTCAACGTCTGCCATCTTCAAGAGGGACTGAAGGCCAGGCATGGTGACTCACGCCTGTAATCCTAGCACTCTGGGAGGCTGAGTCGGGAAGATAGCTTGAGCTCAGGAGTTTGAGACCAGCCTGAGCAAGAGCAAGATCCCATCTCTACTAAAAATAGAAAAATTAGCCAGGTGTCATGGTATGTACCTGTAGTCCCAGGTACTCTGGAGGCTAAGACAGGAGGGTTCCTTGAGCCCAGGAGTTTGAGGCTGTAGTGAGCTATGATGATGCCACTGTACTCTACCCACCCAGGGGCAACAGAGTTAGACTCTGTCTCAAATTAAAAAAAAAAAAAAAAGACTGAAACCAAAAATTAAAAGCTTAATATTCAAGAACCAGGCACCTACAGGCACACACCTGAGTCCTAGCCACTTGGCAGGACTGCTTGAGGCCAGGAATTTGAGGCTGCAATATGCTATAATTTACCTGTGAACAGCCTCTGTACTCCAACCTAGGTAACGTAGCAAGAGATCATCTCTTAAAAAGAGAAAGAAAAAACATGTAAAAAAAAAAAAAGGAATTAAACTTTCAAATGATGTTTTGTATAGGTTTATAGCATTTTTACTTCTGCAGTGCCCTGGAGGGCCCAAGCACACCACAGCAAAGCACAACACTGTCCTGAAGCTGCCAGGACACCTTGTATTTCACTGCTTTTCATTATCACTGGACCACCGTGTTGGTTGGCAGTATGAAAATATCTTTTAACACATTTAACAAATAAGAGGAAAATTACCAGGAAATGAGAAGCACCATTACAGTTTACAAGAAATGGCAACGTGGACCCCATAGAAGTAGATGATCAATAACTGATACCGTTACATGTCATGAGTTCTTTAAAAAAAAACAAACCTGATACTTGATACTTTCTCTGACCCCAAACATGCTAAAATGCTAGTAAGTAGTGCTTGCAAAGAAAATGAACAACAAATGTTATCCAGCAGCTTTTTGGTTTAAAATGATTGCCAATGACAGCAGCAGCAGCTTCAGTGGTTTTACGAGTTGTTAAGAGTCCCATGTTTTAATGGTAATACTGCACTGATTTTAAAGGTATATGCAGCAATTTGGGGGGAGGGGGCAAGAAAAATAGGAAAAACAAAAGTTATATGAAATAGGCAAAACATAAAAGTATATGGTTAGTGTCTTTAAAGTCTAAAAATTTAAACTATTTAAAAAACCTCACATAGTTCACAGCTATTGGCCTACACAGAAGCAAGTATCTGTGTGGTTTGGGAGCTTTTGCTTTGGAGTGGTTTCTGTAACTGTTTACATTAAAAAGGACAGAAGAGTGTGTTCTTGACATTAACAAGGTCCCATATTCTTTCCTATGGAGTGTAATCTTCGTTGTCCACAAATCTCTTGAATTTGAGATCTTTCTTTTTGGTGAAAATACTAACTTTGCTGGTTTTTGAGCAGGAGAGGCGGTATTTTTCCAGTCTCTGTAGGTGAGGGTTCATGGTGATATAACCCCTCACCTCTCCCTTTAGGAGAGGACAGCATTAGAGCGCCGAATACCAGTGAAATGATCAGCACTGAAAGACCTTCTGATAGCAGCTCTACACAAGTCCTTGTATTTATCTTCGCACAATCGGGAAATGGCCTAGGAAATGCAATCAAATAGAAAAGAGGTACAATTTTTAAAAAGGGTTCCAACCTTTACAAAAGCACCAGTGATGACAAGCCACGCATGCACACTCCTTTAGTTTATAGTGACAGCTCCTGTGGCTGGGGTTTGCACTACCAGGTTCTGGGGGTGCTACTTCCTGCCAATTCACTAAGGTGATATCCTTTAAGCCAGGGCTATAATTGAATTGCCAGAGAAAAGTGGGACTTTAAGTTAAAAATGGGGATGTCAAAGGTGTTGTGACAGCAGTATATCATCTGTTACTTGTGCACTTATTCCTTAAATCAGTTTATTCTGCTATTCAAATTCTACCCAATTCTTATTAGTTATTACATATTCAAAGCAAATTTCAACGAGGCAAGTGGGTGCTGGAGCAAAGGAGAGGTCTAATGAGTGAAGTGCCACTTCACTTGCACATTATGGTAGAGAAACATTCTTCTAAAGTCCCACAGAAAGTGCCAATTTTAAATGTGTCAATTTTAGTTGTAAATAAAAATTGCTGTATACTCACCAAGAGTCATAACCCATAAATACTATTTTGCCCCACAAAGTTACCATTCCCATTAAAAACTCACATACTTCTTACATCCAGTACTTGAAACACACCTCATATAATCTAAGTATAGGTCTAGTCTCTCGGCTTAGCCACTAATGCTCTATCTAATAAGTTCATGGGACCACATGGTAACAGAGTAGACACTGACATGAACCTGGCAAACTGAATAAATAAAAGATAGTTAAGAGTGGTCAGTGAATTGTATATGTAGATATAATTAGGAATACAATTTCAAGAAATTGTTCATGTATGATGTGAAGTAGAGGTTCAAAAGGAAAACCATTAAGAACAAATTTAATTAAAAATATTCTGAATTACAGTCACAGAAGAGATAATATAATTTTTAAAATGGATCCTTGCATAAACCGTAAAAGACACAGGAAATAGGATGCCAAAGGGTTAAGCTCTTCAGTGGGTTAATTTTAAAGCTTTCCATTTTCCTAATCACTACTTAATATGATTCAGTCACAGATGTTGGCTTTGGTGGCTGACAGAAAACCCCACTAAGTGATTTCACAGCCTTACCTCTAGGTTCTGCGCTCTTTCTTTGCTAAGAGGAGAATACAGAAAATTCATGTTGTTGTCATCTGCTAAGGAGCGGAGGTCAAAGTAGTATTTGGCATAAACACTGGCAGGAACATTAATATTAAACTGAAGTAGCTCCAAAAAATGCCTTTCCATTTCATTCCTGGGGGAGGAGGAACAAAACAAAACCAACACAGGACAATTTTAGTCAACTGGGCTATCTTCAAAAATATCATTCTGAGCTAGGATGACTCTAAATTCTGTCTTGAAACAAAGACTACCCAGTTGGATTAGTACACTAATGTTCAGACAAGGTACAGCTATTTGTGGTCCCTTCTGCATCCCAGCACTTTGAGTTTGGGATGAGGGGGAAAGGTTACGGCCCTCTTATGCACTCGTGCTGCTGACTCGGGGCTCATTCTTCAGAGTTCCATTAGTGCAGCTGTGCGATTCATACTCCACGCTCGCTCACAAGGCCCCACTATAGTGATCAGATGAAAGGAATGATGTATGCTGTTTATTAGCTCTGAAGAACTTGCAGACATTTTCACCGGGCTGATAACAGGAAGGGGCTTATTGAAGTAGAGAAGCGCCAACAAAAGGAGTGGGCACATCACCACGGCAACAAATGGATCCATCGAGAGCCACTGCTATTATCTCTGAGGGGGGAAAACTCTTGAGGCAACAAGGCTTCATCTCAAATAAATAAGCTACATTCGATGTGAAAAGGGAATCCCTTCCCCCTGCCCCCGTACATGAGGTTATGTCAAAGGGCATAATGCAAGTTTCTGCTCACCTTAGTATTACCAAGGTGAGAAACTGTCATTACAACAGGGCAGAGATACTCTTTAAACTTTGGAAGGCAGAAAGATCAAAGATAGATGTCTTGGCTAGACTAAGCCCGCTTTACGATATGACCTGTGGCAGGGCACTGGACTTATAAACTCAGTGTTCCATCAGAGCTGGGAATGGAGCCCAGAGACGCTCAGCATCCACTGTCCCTGGCCAGGACAGAATTGGGGGGGTGGGGGGTGGCGCGAGTTCTTCAACACAGTGGGAAAGGGTGGGGAGCAGTCCCTGCTACAAGAACACACACTGCCCTCACCAAATGTTTAGGTAAATAGAAGTTAAAATTAGAGTTAAGTCTTGTCTTACCCACTTCCACAATAATCCCTATAATGAGTTAATTGGATAAAAATGATAAATACCTGAATAACATTTGGTTTCTTAAAGTTTTAATATTTTATCCACTGGCTAAGTCAACAAATGCTTGATATTCTCCTGTATGGAAAGCAGTTAGAATATGAGCAGAGATGTTGTTTTCTCATTTGTTGAACTTAATACCCAAATGAACCTACTTCCAAAATTAATTTCCTGTTCATATGGCCATAAGTCTATAGAAATGTAAATCAGATAATGTTTTGATAATCGGCTAATCAGGACTTAATTTGCTACAGGAATAAATGCACTTCACGATCCCTTTTATATTTTTCCCACTAATACATTTCAACTGCAGAAATATAGTACTTCATAGGATTAACGTGTATTAATAGAGGTTTAATCACTGAAGAAAAGCACTATGCCTACAGAATGTGTCTTCTGGGTTTTTTGTTTAAATGGCTAGATGGCTGAATAGCATACTCTGTACAGACACAGCAAATTTTCTGAATAGCAGCTGCTCAGTTCAACTTATTCTTTTGAAGGGAAATATAGTCTAATAAGAAATGTAGATGTTGGAAAGTTTTAAGAAAAATCTGATAGACATCACTTTTTCAATTTTTCAATTTAAACTCAAAACGAGACTACTATAAATAATCAACAGCAGGGAGATGAGACACATGTATATTAAACACTTTGTTGTGATGTTTTCTAAATTCCAAAGATCATAAACAAAAGCATTGGGAGCACAGCTCCTGGTGCTTCTACGTTCACACAAACAGCACTGTCTAGAACTGGCCTTGGAGCTGGCCCTGCCACCACTGCTCCTGGAGCTCACATCTGTGGGAACCTACGTGTTTCCCTTCATGTTCTCTGATCTTGTAACTACGAGCAGAGCCCTTAGAAAGCTTAGCTGCAGGTTTTGAGAAAGTTTTAGCTGTCAATAACGACAGGGCTGTGTTCGTGATTACAAATTTTACTTCCTTGTGAAATCAGTAGCAACCAAAGTCATTTCAGCATCTGCAACTTCCCAAAGCACTTCCATTTGTTTCAAATTCATTTGCTGTTACACCCTTTGCTGACATGGGTGCCAGCAACAGCACCACAAACATTCAGTTTACACTATTAGCAAAGTGGTCATTCTCACCAAAAGCCACTTCAACAGCTACCAATAATCACTGGTCCCTTGTTAGTCACAAGTATCCTCACTTCAGTTGTAAATACACAGCTTGGTCATTCTGAATGACAGTCTTATCTGGAGCAATGGGCAGAGGTAACAAAAACAAACTCTTGCCACTGCTTGTCATGATCTTGATCTTCCTGTGCTGCTCAACATAATCAACAGGTGCTCCTTCCTACTTTCCTAAATGCCACCCACAAAGACATTTTCACTGTCAAGCAGGCACTGTCAAGGAAAGAGTCTTTCCCTGGCTTGCCCTTCCCTTCACAGCTGTCAGGCCGGACCAGAAGAAAGTCCTTGTGAAGTTCATGTTTTGCTGTCACATTAGTGCCATCTGTGCGGAGCCCCGTGACTCAGCAGGTGCACACTCGGTAACTCAAGGTCCCCAAGTGCTGCTGTGCTTGCCTGAGTGCCCAGGAGCCGATTGTGGTGAACACTGGCTGCTGCCTTAGAAATGGGGCTCAGTGGCCTGGGGGATCCGGAAGCTTCCCTACTCACCAGGCTACTTCTAAACACAGGCAAGCTCCTAATAGGGAAGGGCTGGGGATATGTGGATATTTAATTTTTTACCTCATGGTTTCTGTACAAACAGATCTTCAGATAAAAGAGAAAGACCAGCAAAAGAAAACATATGATGTGTGACTCAGGCTGAAGCTATAACTTCTCACTAGTCCAGAGGCCCTAAGACCTCAACAGTGGCCAAACAATTGTTTCAAAGGCCAGAGGTGTGCCCCTTAAAAAGGGACAGCTTGTAAAAAGCCATACAGATATTTACTGTACTATGTTGTTCTGGAGTAAGCTTGCAAGATGTTAGCCAAAAACCATCAGAAAAATGCTTTTCAATTATCAAGCACATTATTACAACAATAACATATCAAGACCTACCAATTAATGAAAAATAGGAACTGCTATACTAAGGATGAATAGAAGGAAGCATGTAGTTTTATGCCTATTTCCGTTATCTGCACAATGTAACATTTATAAATTACTTCTTAAAGTGTTAACTTTATGGGAGTAAATGAGGTACTGGAAAATGGTTAGAAAGTTCACCAAAACCTTACAAACTCACATGTCCTCAACTGTAATGTCCTTGAGGATCTGGCAGTAGTCCACATTCCATACAGCCTGATCGTCCCAAACCTTGGAGGCAAGAAGAATCGCTCCCAAAACAATTCTTTTCCAGTTAGTGGGACAAATGTCGATCTCAGCATAAGTTAAAAGCCTTTCTAAGTAAACCTGCAAAAGTAGAGCACTGGTCTTTGATTTTAGTTCAGTTTAAGTGCTGTGATAAGAACTGTTATGAATGACAGATTTCTTCTGTTTTTGACTAGAAAGTAAGTGCCTTTTATTCTTATGTTTTGCAGAGACTTTGCTCAGTCAACCAAAGCAAGAAGCCAGATCACAGTTGTAGATCAGATACCTACACTGCCTACTCTGCCCATGCAAATTTCCAGCCCAATTTTGGTCACAGGACAGAATGGACATCTCAGCAAAGGGGACCACGAAGAGAGGCACTGTTATCACCTCCCCACTCATAACAGGCAGCACACATAGACCCAGTGTAGATTAAAGTTGTTAAATAAATACCTCTGTGCCAGCCAGGTGCAATGGATCATACCTAGCTGGGAGTCAGATAGTTAATTATACAGGCATGTCATGCTTGAATATGTAAAATCCAAGTAAAACTGAGCACATTTTAATCTTTTCACAGTAACTCACCCTTCTGTGGCACAAGCTGGGGGAAGTGCTGGTCAAGAGAGCCTCCCAGTGGCTGCTGTGCAGAGCAGCAGGACAGGCACAGGCCTCTGGGGCTGTGACACATTCCCTTATTCCATGCCTTTGTAAGGTGCACATGTGTACAACAAAAGGATAGCCCTGCTCATAGCCCTACATTTCACATCTCCATTATCACTTCATGAAAATTCATTTTCTACTCTTATATAACCTGAAACTTAGTCAATTATGTTGGTTTTCAGGCCATAAGACCTGCCAGCTTCTGTATCCCTGGGATTTCTCTAAACCTGCCAAGTACTTTGTGAGACAATCTCATGAATTACTTTATATACAGCAAATACCTATCCTACAAAGAATTGGGCAAAGTTAACAGCTGAGTAAAGATCATAGAGGTAAGCTGTGATGTGTCATTACCTCAAAGGGTGCGCTGCAAAAGAGTATGCATATATGCTATTTGAACTCTTTGTATCAAGATAAATGGAAAAAAATTTCCTTTTTAAACAGTTTAGCTGGCTGAAGGTTACCAGACTGACAGCTCACATCTGGCACTGTTCTCCACACTCAACTGTGTTTTCAAAAACAACTGGCTACTGAACATCACATGCTCTTAGTGAGATTCTGCTCCTGTTTCCCCAAATTCTGAACTCTCAAGCATCCCAAGGATCAATGTCCCTCATAGGTTTCCACTCACCACAGGAATAATTAGCACAGAAATCACACTGGCAATCCAACTTTCCTGTCACCTTTGCTGGTAAGTTTGTTCTGTGCTGACACCACTTGCTCTCCAGTATCAGTGCAAGAGTTCTTTTTTTCCCCATTAAAGCCAACTCTTCAATCAGTGCAGTGGATCCCATTCCATTTCTGCAGAACACTATTCCTACAATTACCTCTTTCTGAAGACTTTCTCCCTCTCTGTGAAATTTTCCCCAAGATGAATGTGTTTCCCCTGTTCCCATGCCACTCCTCACAACTTCCAAAATGCTTCCTCACAACATTATGCCCTGGTGGCAGTTTCTCATCCCACCTGCCCACTGCTACTGTCACTCTCCTGAGACTCCCTTCACCAAGGCCCCTACCCCCTGGTGCCTTCACATTTGAAAACCAGAGCTCTTCACCCCAACATGCTATTCCCCAAGTCTGCCCTAACAATGGAAAGGGCATCGCCATTCACCTAGGTGCTGGGGCCAAATATCTACATGAGTTGCCCTGTTCCAACCTGTGAGCAATTAACTTCACTGGGAGTCTGCCCGCTTTTGATTCTGACCTGCCATTTGTCACTGCTCAGCTTTATCACTGTAGCTGCTCCCTAATCCTCTTCTCTGCCTCCACTCTGACTCCTAAATATGGTCTGCCCTTCCCAAGGCAGTCAGCATAACTTCTTAAATTAACACCACTTCACTCCCCTGGCTCAAGAGCTACCAAAAGTTACCCATCAAAATAGAATAAAAACTTAGCAAGCAGCCAGTGTGGTCAGACTGAGGAATGACCGCATACTCACAGGGCCTTGTGGCTTGCAGGCCACCAGCAGAAGCTGTTTGCTCCTTGTACACACACAAAACACATTCCTGTCTCAGGGTCTTGGCACTCATCCCACTGTCTGTAATGCCAGAGCTCCTTACCTTCCTCGCTTCGGTTGGGTCACAGTTCAAATGTTCTCTCTCTAGAGAGGCTCTTCCTGATCATTCTACCTAAAATAGTAAGCGCCCCTCCAATCATTATATCCCTTTACCCTGCTTTATCTGCTTGGTATTTCCCACCACCTGAAGTATTTGTGTATCTGAAAAAAACTTAATGTCTTCCACACCAGAACATAAGCTCATAAAGGCAAGGACTTTGTTCAACCTGTCCTCTCCTCCACAGCCCCACTTAGCAACTTCTTGGCATCCTTAGCATTGTGACCACAGCCTCTCTTATCTTACCTTGGTTTTCCTCCTCCTCCCACCCTAGCCACTCCTCTGAGAACTTGTCCCTTAAATGCCAATAGTCCTTACAGATCTACCTTCTGTCCACTTCCATTCTACACACTTTCTCTACATGTGAACAGCAACTCTTACTACTCTTCATTCCTTACTTCTAGCTCAGATTCATGTTCCAGTCCCATATACCCAAAAGACTAGACAGTGCCACCCTGGTGTCTCACTGGCACATCAAGCTTCACCTGTCTACAATGACCTCCCCCTCTTCTAATCCAGCTCTCCTGCATCACCTGTCTCTCCGCATATGGAAGTACCACTCTTGCTTCTCTCCAGCATGTGCTAAGCATTCTCAAGAGTTTGCAGCTCCATGAAAAGGCCTATGTCTGCTCCAGTGCCCACTGGGGGTTCTATTCAAGTGCACAGCAGAAGTCTCCTCTCCTTAACTCTAACAGATGCTACAGGAGTAGGGACTGGCCTAAGTATTCTTTCCCTCCAGGCTATGCAATTAACTTTACTCTAGGTTAGCTGTGGGGAGGAGTAAAACAATCCCATCAACTTGAAGAGGATTATTATTCAAAACGATGAAGTCTTACCACAGGAACTCTACATGGATGACACATAGGTCAGGACACAGCTATAGCTTAGTAGGCTAACTAGAAAAGCTTTTGTCCAAGTCCTACTGGTACCCTATTCCTAGACAACTTCCTGAGCAAGCACAAGAGGTCAGCAGAGACGGATAAACATCCATCATCAAAAGAACAAAGAATTTAGGGCAGTGTTCTCAATCACAACACACATCAGAATAGCCTGGGGAATACAGCCTGGGACTCAGCTTAGAACTACACTGCACTCAGTCTCTGCCTGTGGACCAATTCTGTTACTGCTCCCTATCATTCCCCTTGCATGACACGTGATGTGTGTATGTGTGTGTGTCTGTTTGCACATGCACGCACATGGGCAATGAGGGGACAGGAGAGAATGAAGAAATCTCTCCTGCTGCCTTTTATAGTAATTGTTTTGTGATGAGAAAAGCAATGGTAACATTTTAAGCCATGATTATTAAATTCAAATGCATGTATTTACTTTCCTTATGTTTTTCTTAAACATAAGGATAATATAATATTCTGATAATATCATTCTGATAATATCTTATATTTCTGATAATATCATTCTGATAATATCATTCATTTTATTTCTAAATATGCTTTATAAATAAGATTTATCTTACCAAAGTTACTATTGCACATTCAGCTGTTAGCTGTGCGGCACTGAAAAGAGTACGGACAAATCTGTAAATAAATTTATGTTCAGGATCATGCTTAAAGTACTCTTCTGGAACCTTTTCTCGCTGAAAGAAGAAAAAATGCAATATAAGTATCCATTGAAGAAAAATTTTTAAGTACACTTAAGAGCAGTTTTCGCATTTGTGCCCATGTGTCCCTTAAAATAGTTTTATTTGGGGGACACGTCTTTTAAATATAAACACTAGGAATAGTGTTTATATTTAATATAAATATATTTATAATATAAATATAAACATGAATAGTGATGACTATGGAATCATTATGAGTACCTCATAATGATTCCATAGTCTAATGATTCCATAGTCATCACTATTCATTAGAAATTGGCATTGGGTACACCCAAATGCTCAGAGAATCTTTATTTTCCCTTTTCACTTACCCCTAGTACTCATAATGATTCAATAGTCATCACTATTCATTAGAAATTGGCATTGGGTACGCCCAAATGCTCAGAGAATCTTTATTTTCCCTTTTCACTTACCCCTAATAGAAGCTATCAAAATGTAAACTATTTTTATGCTCAAAAATCTTCTTGATCATGTCATGCTTCTCTGCAATAAACTTTGAAAAAACAAGGTTTAGTTTCCTGTAACCATGAGGCTCTAAGCCTGAACTGTCCAATACAATGGTCACTAGATACGTGTGGCTAGTGAACACTCAAAAGCAGCTACTATGTGCCAAAGTGAAGTTTTACATTTTTTGCCATTTTAATTGATAAACTGTTTTCTAATTCTCTTCACAGAGATCATGCATGTCAGAACTACTGATAAATATTTTACACAGGGTGTCCCAAATGTCTCCATACAAAGGAAAACATCTGTAAAATTTTGTAATGAATATTTTGTAAATGAAGGTACATTTGGCTACAATTTCGCATTTTCCCTATGTATGGTGACTTTTGGGATACCCCATATTATTCAATGCTACTGAAAATTATGTTTTAAAAAGACATACGTTTTTTGTTATTTGTATAGTACATTTACCTACCTTAGCTCACTAATTAACAAAGCTACAAATCAGTTCTTAGCATATCCTTATTACAATACCCCTTTTATAAGATGATTATATGTAACAGGTGGCAAGGAAGATGATTTTGACTTCAGCATGAAATAAACACAACTCTATGAGAGAAAAATACTTCAAAAAAAGCAACACTTACTGTGAGTGGATGTGACCTCTCATCAAAAATATCCAGTGATCTATTTGCATCTCTATAAAATAAGAACATGCATTTAAAAAATTAATTCAGGAATTGTCAACTATCTTAGTAAAATATCTGCTGGGAGTGGGGGAGCAGGGAGTGGAGGGAGATTCCTAACCTTCAAACAAGGCAAACAGTTTTACAAATTCTTCTCCTGGGTTCTGGCCTTCAGAGGGTTCCTGATCTCTTTTTACTCAGCACATCAAGTCCTGTACTCTGAAGTCTTCTACAATGACCAGCCAGAATTGCCTTCTCTGACCTCACATTGGAATACCAAGAACATTTTACAAAGCAATAGTGTTGAGCAATAAAGTCTTTAGAACTTATGTATTTCTTGTTTCTTTATGCAGTTTGAGTTAAACACTTAGTTGCCTTTTATTTTAAAAAAGACCAGTCTTTGATGAATTTTAAAGTGGAAAGTTCACATAAAGCAATTCTGCATGCTGAAGTATGGTTGTATTAAGGAAAAGCACTTGTAATTTAACTGTGAACCAAATAATCCACTTTTTTTCATGGAGCATCATTTTTATTTGAAAGTACAACTATCATTCTCAAATATGAATGAAGTGAGCCTGTCACTCTGAGGAAAATAACAAGTATTTGTTGCCAATGATAAAATTCAAGCCTTAAGTTAAAAAGCAGGACTTTAGAAAACTTATACCTTCTACAGTGAACCTGACTGCTTCTGAATACTTAAAGAGTATTTTTTCTCTTAATAAGATCGGTGGTGATACTAACAAATGCACTTGTGGAGTTTTGGTGTAGTATTAAAGAATATCTACAATTATCTAAAATATACCTTTTCCCAACTACATTAGGCTAGGTTGTCATCTTACTGCCTCTTCAAAACAAATTGCAAAGACAGAGATGAGAATCCAGCTGTCTCCTATTAAGCCAGACATTAGAGACTTGTAAAAATTCAAATAAATGACACACTTTTTACTCAACATTTGTTGCAGAAAAAAGTTTTTTTGTGTGTGAAAAAAATATTTATGTTAACAGCGTGGTTCTCAGTCAGGGGTGAGTTTGTCCTCCAGGAGATACTTTCTGTTGTCACAACCTGGAGGGTGCTGCCTCTGACTGGAAGAGGCCATCGATGCTGCTAAACATCCTACAATGCACAGGACAGCCCCCACAACAAAGAATTATCTGGCTTAAAATATCAAGAGTGCCAAGGTTGAGAAACCTAAACTAAAAATATTTATTTTTTTATTTCTCAGTTTTAATTTCTAATACAGTAAATACCAATATAATCAACATGAACAAATACTCTTTGGGATTCTCAATAATTTAAGAATTAAAAGAGTCTTAAGGACCAAAAAACCCAAAAGTGATTTGCTTCAATACTATAAGCACTCTTACAACTTATGTCTAGTCTATAGTTATAATCTAATACTAAACTAGTATCATGCAAAGTAATTAGCTGGAATAACAAAATAGGTTTTAAAAGAGCTCACCTGTTCTTTATATGGTAATATATTGCTAAGGTCACACTGTGGAAGGAAAAAAAATATTTTTAACAACTGATTTTATCATCTGTTAGGTCTGAAGACATTTTTAAAAGGGGGTCGGGTAGGAGCCTTTCTCAGGGGCCCTGAAATCCTCCAGTTCCGAGCAGTACCACGTGGGCACGTTCCCACTTGTTTTAATTCTTTGGCATTTAGCAAAAATAGGACAACCAAAATGCTATGCAATATATGCTGTTAGAAGACAGGTTTTTGCTAATAATTATATTATTTGTTCTTTTACCCATAGAACTTTCCATCCTGTGCAAGTTATATCTATTTGTGCACATGCTTAAATTTAAGTCATGTAGTAATTCTGTCTTAAGTTGTTAGGCTCTGCATTTCATTTAGTTCACTATCCCCTATCCTTCTCTCCTCATTATTTCCCTAAAAGTAAATAATGAAAGTGCTTTATACCAAATAGAATCACTTAAAATCACTTTTGCATAATTAGAAAATTGATTAGTAAATATAAGTGCACACACAATCAATGATAGGTTTAGCTATCTTGAAATAAGCAGGGCTAACAAAACAGTATACTACTACAGTGCAATATTAATAGCAGCTATTTCCCAATTAGTTTAAATGAAAGATTAATGAACAGATACACCTCACACACAGTTAGTGTAATCCTAAATTATCCCCAGATGTTGTATATTAGGAAACGGGGTTCTTTTAGATAAGTTATATGCTTCAATTTGCCCTCAGTGTCTAAAATGAGGCTCAAAATAATTGAGGGAAGGCAAATCTGAATTTTAAAAGTAGGTCTATATATTAGCACTTTTTTAAAAGCCTGTAACATTATTAGCATCAAAGATGGATACTTCTATAGTGCTTCAAACAGTTTTGTCTCCAAATTGATTTTAAAATCAAAGAATTTGAAGTTATAAGCTGGAAAGGACCACTGAACCTTACATTGGACCTTACATGATATTTAACCCAACAACCCATTTTACAGTAAAGAGAACCAAGGCTTAAAACAGACCTGCCCAAGGTCCCACCAATAGAAGCCGTTCGTTCTCCTGCACGCAAATTGAGCAGTTCCCAAACTTTGCTGCACATTGGAATCACCTGAGGAACTTTAAAAACTGCTAGACTTCCAACTTGAGATATTCTGCTTCAATTGGTATTGGTATGATGTGGGCATATGGACTGTTGTTTTTAAAGTTATCAGGTGATTCCAATGTACGGCAAAGTTTGGGAATGACTGAGTTAGGGTTAAGATCAGAATCACCTGGGATGTTTTTGTCCACGTAATTATGCCTCACATCCTTCTCCATTTTCCTAAAAGGCTGTGAATGCCTAGAGAAGAAGGGAAGGTGGAGGTGGGGAGATGCATGTTGTCTGCAGACATATTTTATAAAAAGTTGCATAAGTGACTCTAACATGGCTCACTCATCCCACTGAGAACATGCACTACTAACCCATGATAAACATTTTTCAAAATTTTTCCTAAAAGCCAATTTGCCCTATTAATTTGCTCAATAAACCTTTATTTCACCAATAGTGAATATACCATATGATCATTTCTAAAACTTAATGAGAGCAAATTAAAACTTACTTTTCTTCCAAAAGCAGACTTCTAAAAATCAGACTAAGGTAAGTGGGGGGATGGGGAAGCATGAAGTCTACTTTTTCAAGCAAAATTAATCTTTAAAATGACTTTGTATTATATGTGGAAACATCAGAATCTTTCAAATTCAAAAGAAGCTAGGCACTCCAGCCAAAGTAGAGTTGTTTTTTAATTCATGGATTTAGGGCCTTGGCTGAATACAAACATTTAGTGATTAGTTGATAGGTGCCAAAGACCACAACTTTAGACAGAATTGGGGTCCAGTTTTTGCTGAAACACAATTTGATCTCAACTATTGTTATAAGTGAGATAGGAAAGTGACATTATGTGTAAACTTGCAGTTTTTAATTAAAAGTACAAGTTACTAACAATTTAATTAGCTAAAAAAGCCAGTACATTAGAAACAGTACTAAAGTTTATAAGCAAGTTATGTTTTTAGACTGAAAAAATTAGGGATAAGGACATTAATATACTAAAGTAGCATTTCCCAAACTACGTTCTGAATATCAACATTCATCATCCAAGGAGATGTTAATAATGTTCCCTGGACAACCCAATGGAGCTGGGTTTTTGTTGTTGTTGCTTTTTAAATAAACTCAAAAGGTTCATCTTAGGGTGTTCTGAGAGTGCACCTCCTACTGTGGACTATGAGGTGCTAATGTGCAATGAGGAATATTTAAATGCAGATACACTATGGTGCCAGTAGAGGACAAGCTGATCCTTCTTCCAAGAGTAGTTTCCAAAGTAGTACACATTATTTTAGGCCTGTCACTCATAATGAACTAATTTTTTCCAGAAGCATCCAAGTACCTCTCCTTTTTGTTATGTCCCCCATTGTCTTAACATAAATGCATCAAATAAAGAGCTATACTTTTTCTGGGATTGCTTATTTGCTAACTGGCTTTCCCTTCCATCATGCAGTCTAAGAATAAAGTAGAAACTGAAAATTCATACTTAGGTCCTTGAAATCAATACATAGTTGACATCAATTTCTTAAACTGATCACTGAAAAGGACAATCAAATGGCTGAAATGACTGAGGATGGCTGGGATGCCTTTAGCATAAGGGTGTCTGTCACTCAGCTCTTGGCAGCCTAGTTGTACTCACCATTTTACTGTGGTTCTAAGATTAGGCTGGCTGACTGTGCTGTCATCTAGAAATATTGTTGAGCATGAGCTATACTTTTTAGTAAGCTGCCCTGGAGATACCTGAAGGGGAAGGGAAATAGAAGAAAATGTCACAGTAAGTTAAACCTATAAAGGTGTGTTTTCTCCCCTTGGTTAAAATGTCAAATGATAAAGCATTAAGATATTTCTTACACTTCATGAACTGCCTGACTGTGGTATCCTGTGTGGCTCTATGGGAAATCCACTTAAGGCTCTTCCACAGATGATGACTGAGGAATGGGTTATAAAATACTGCCCTTGATATGGTATCTATAATCATATCTGGCAAGTCTCCATTATGAATTCCCTTTACAAATAATTTTAAAAGTTTAAAATAAGAGTTCAGTGGTTTTTTTCCTTAAGCAATAAAAAGTAGCTGAGATTTTCTATTATTCATTTACTATAATAAAATGTAATGCTTAAATAATATTGGCATGAGAGCATTTTATTGCAGTACATGAAAGCCTAGTATTGAATTTATTAATTTACTGACACTAAATATATTAGTTCTGGAGACAGTATGATGAAAGAAATGTTTTAAAGACAGAGGTTCTGTGTGCCAGGGCTACTCGATCACCAAAGTGAGGGAGCTATAGGTCTCTCTGGGCCTGTTTCTTTACGTGGAAGGTAAAAAGAGTATTGCTTTAGGACTCCCTCACAGCCAAAGAACAGATGACAAAAACAACTTTGGGAATTTAACTTTCACTTCATGTTTAAATAAGACTGCCACTATATTACTCAAATGAGAACCTCAGAGAATACTTCCCATTTAGTTCAAAATTTTATTCTATAAAATTAATAGAATTATTTGACAAACATCATAGTACTTTCCTGCCTCATTCTTGCTGCTCTCGGCCTAGAATGCCTTTTTCTTCCTGTTTGTCCCAGCAAGCTTGAGCCCATCTATGTTGCGGGATACCTTTGCCAGTAGCCATACCACAAAACTCTTCCCTTTTTGTACACTCTTCATCGCTCCACCTAATTCATCACTTGTTACATGACAACAATTAGCTTGCAAGGGTGTCCCCTCATAAAAAAAGTAAGCTTCTCCAGGGACAGTGGGACTCTTACACCTGCTACCTCAGGAGGTGCTGCTCAGCACAGAATTTGGGACAAATTAGGGAGTTCAACAAGTGTTTGACAAATTATTATTTAAAATCAGTTACAATTTGGAAGGCAAATCTTACTACAGACACAAATTAGTGAGAATTTATCTGCAGTGGTATTGGAAAGGTGACAATGAACTTTTTGAGTCCTCTAAAGAGTTAACTGTCTTTAAAACACTTTAGAAGTATCCATTTATTTGCAGAGTGCAACAAATACTGAAACAGCCTCAACTATGTTAAGACAGTTCTCTTCCTTAAAAATAAGGACAATAACCATATCCCAATCACTGAGTAGTTGACAGTAACAGCAGCATTCTTTAAAACCACACAAGACCAACAATTTTAATGCTTTAAAAGAAAAAAAACTAATTCAGATGAGCCTTCTTTCCTCCTATTAATATAATAGTTTTCAACATGTCACATTCTCCCATTAGTATCCCCCACAAATACATGAAAGACAGGGCAGGGAGAGATCTAATTGTTGCTTTTAAAATTACACAGCATTTAAAACTTGCCAGTAGCCAATAATCAGAAATAACCACACCATCAAACACTATTTTGTTTCAGATGTTTCTACTGCAAAGTCACTTATTCCTTATTAACAAAAAGTATCAGATATAATATTTTTGAAAACTGTTACAATTTGGAGAAATGTTTTAACTTTATCTAAACTCTTATGTGTTTCTTAAGCTATTCAGTTAAAGTGTATACTTTATATCAACCTTGTGTTAATGTGTATTCTTTTATAATCTCAAAAAACAAATACAGCATGAAAAGTGAAAATTGACTCATTTAAATACTTTCATTCAAAGTAGAAGGAGGTTATCTTTTAAGGTCACTACTATTAGTGGGTAATATGGCATATACACTATACCACAACAACAAAAAAACCTCTATAGGAGAATAAAAAGAACAGAGAGGAAATATACCAAAATACAGACTAGCTAGTAGAGCTTTAGGTGATATTTTCTCCCATTTTCCTCTACTTAAAATTTTCTGTCATGAATATATATTGGTTTGTTCTTGAAAATATTAGAACTAAAACATTTAAAACATTAAAAAATTTGAATTAGATGTGGTCTTACAGCTGGAAGGGCTTATTTAGTGAATCAGCAACTATGGTCTACTGGTTAGAACCAGCCAAAGAAACACTTCACACTTCCCATAAGTCCAGGCTTACTCTAAACTCCTGCTTAAAGACAGAGGAATTATTCACTCCAGGAAAATGGCCATTTCTGCTTTCTTTCTTTTCTTCCCCCCAACCACCAGGCCACTTCCAAATTTCAAGATGGCCAGAAAAAGGTAAACGCAAAGATTCTCTGCTAACCAGCTATACAGCGGGAGACACACCACTCACTTCCATCTATTAAAACTTTCCAGTATCAAGAGCATCCCCATTTCTCTTAATATAGAATTAAGCCTCTAAGCAAAGCAATTATTGCTGCAACAGGTAGCTTTCTCCTCATCGTGCTAGAAAACTTAAACAACTGCCTTTTATGGCTAAAGCCTTATCATTGCAATCTTTACAACCTCAGCAAACTATACTGACAAATGTAAGAATATAAAATATAAATACTAAAAAAAAAGTCAAACAGCAAAAACACTACTGATAGTTTAGCGTCATGGATAGTATTTCATGTAGTAACAAAATAGAGACAAAGAACATCATTTATCTTCAGTCACAAATGACAATATGGAATTTTAAAGTCTTTAACAGGATAGGGAAGGGGGTACTTAGTACACAAAGTCGAATAGCAAAGACTAGGAAGTAGTCATATCTAGTAGTTTAATAAGTCACAACTCAAAAAAAAAAAAAAGTCACAACTCAAAGCTTACCATCAAAGGTCAAGTACCTGCTGAAATTCTGTCTCCATCCACTGACTTCCCATTCTGTCTGTTGTCTCTTATTTTAATCCATTAAAAAATAAAACGTAAGTTCACTTTTTTCTCTGCCTTTATTTACAAGTTTTAGAGACAGAGTTTCACTCTCTTACCTGGGCTAGAGTGCTGTGGTGTCAGCCTAGCTCACAGCAACCTCAAACTCCTGGGTTCAAGCAATCCTCCTGCCTCAGCTTCCTGAGTAGCTGAGACTACAGGCGCGACACCATGCAGGGCTAATTTTTTTCTATTTTTAGTTGTTTGGCTAATTTCTTTCTACTTTTAGTAGACACAGGGTCTCGCTCTTGCTCAGGCTGGTCTCAAACTCCTGAGCTCAAGCAATCCTCCCACCTCAGCCTCTCAAGAGTGCTAGGATTACAGGCATGAGCCACCACACCCAGCTATGTTTTAGATTTAAAAAAAAAAAAAATTAATGACTCTTAACTTAAAAATATCCACAATATAACAGGGTATAGAGTTGGAATAGAATTTTTAAACAGGATTTTAGCAGAAAAGTTAATATGTAATTATAGGCCGGGCGTGGTGGCTCACGCCTGTAATCCTAGCACTCTGGGAGGCCGAGGCGGGCGGATTGCTTGAGGTCAGGAGTTCGAAACCAGCCTGAGCAAGAGTGAGGCCCCATCTCTACTATAAATAGAAAGAAATTAATTGGCCAACTAATATATATAGAAAAAATTAGCCGGGCATGGTGGCACATGCCTGTAGTCCCAGCTACTTAAAAGGCTGAGGCAGAAGGATTGCTTGAGCCCAGGAGTTTGAGGTTGCTGTGAGCTAGGCTGACGCCAGGGCATTCACTCTAGCCTGGGCAACACAGTGAGACTCTGTCTCAAAAAAAAAAAAAAAAAAAATTGTAATTATAGGTATAGCTAAAAAATTATCTGGATTAATATTATTCATTATCTTGAATTTAAACTTAGATTTACACTTTTAAATATAGGTTCTAAATTTGGGTTAAACATGGTGTACTGGACCACAAACTCATCTCCTCTCCTGCCTGAAATCTCATTAAAGATATAAAAAAATAAAAGTTATACACAAGGCCAGGGGACACAATCGACAGATGATTTTTAATAAATATTAAAAGATGAAAAGCAGACAAAGGAGTGGTAACTAGCATGGAGGCACAACTTAGGTGCCCAGAGAGAATGACTCAAACAGGACTAAGCAACCAATTTGTCTCTCAGAACACAAGGCAGGCTGAGAACCCACAAGGCACATGGTACCTCAGAAGGAAGGGTAAAACAAAACAAAAGCCAACAAAATAAGTTGAAAATCTGTGGCTAAAGCCCCAAATCCACCTGTCCTCTCACCTTATAAGGAATTTAGATGTGTTTTCCCTGGAGCTATTAAACCTGAGGGTTTCTGGGCTCAGAAACATCAGAGCTGAAACCTAGGAAACGGTAAAAAAAAAATTGTACGCTGATAAGTAGAACTCCATCTCTCCTTCCCAACTCTGCTTCTGGAAAGCAAGTAGCCATGCTTGTACCCCCCAGGTAGAAAACTGGGGAATCCTTCTCTGAAAAATCTGAACTGTCCCACCAGAGAGAAGACCCTCAGCTAATACACTGAAGTCTCCCAAATGAAAAGCCAGCTTGGCCTCCAAATCCTTACAGTAAATGCCATCAGTTAACAAAGGTACTGCTCACGCATGGTGCTTCCATGGTGTTTCCAATTAGAGAAATCCAGAGACCACCACACACTTGAGGAAAGCCTCCAACAAGACAGACCAAAACAAGTGGAAAAAGGAATTCATAAGAGTGGTAAAAATTCAGGAGCAAATGAAAACTTAAAAAAAATTCTTAAAACACTCTTAAAAAGAAAAATTTCAATAGAAAGGTTAGAGCATAAAGTTAAAGAATCTACAGGAAGTAGAACAAAAAGACAAAAGGAAAATAGGAGGGGGAAAAAATTAAAGATCAATGCAAAAATACTGGTCTAAGAGGCCCAACATCTGAATATCAGAAAAAGAAGGAACAGAGAAAACATAAATAAGAAAGAAAACTCTCTAGAGGAGATGGTCTACAGACTTCAGTGGCCCTAATATTAAAAATGAAAAGGTCCACACCAAGCCATATAATTAAATTTCAGAATCCCAAGGATAGAAAAGGTATTAAAAAGCTTCCAGAGAAGAGATGAGGGATAAATGACTAAAACTGGTTACACATAATGTATCATACAATAGCAACAGATTCAGGAACAACACTATAATGAGAACACAATAGGGAAATGTCTTCAGAACAACGAAATTTAGTTTCAACCTAGAATTTTATACTCTATCAAATAGGAGGGGTTTTCATACAGGCTAGATCTCTAAAAATGTCTATGTGCCCTTTCCCAGGAAAATGTGCTTCAGTAAAACTTCGGAGTATAATAAAAGAGAATGAAACAGAATCTAGGACGTAGGGGATCTAACACAAGAGAGCAGTTATTTGAGATCTCAGATGACTTCAAAGAGATATCCTAGGAAAATAGGCACAAAGCAGGCCTAGGGAAAAACCAGTCTACGCTGGAGTAGGATGACAAAAGGCTGAGGGAAGTTGTCTTCTAGAGAAAAATGGAACAGATGTGTTTTAGTGGATGGAAAATATTTTTGATAGGCATGTGACAAATGTTACAACATTTGGGGAGAAAAATAGCTGTCAGAAAACAGGAGAATGAATATTGTCAGGAAATTGATTTTCCCCACACAAAAAAATGAGGGATGTGAAAGCAGGGGGACCAGCCAGGGCTACTTATTGCATTTGGCTGTGTGAGCTATTGTTGGCTAGGAAAAGGGGATTATCCCGGAGAAGTGTAAAAGTACTCAGATTTCAAAAATATTTAAGAGAAACAATGAAGGGTGTACAGGAAGAGGCACACTCAGAAAACTGTATGACTCAGCAGTGAATAATATTTCCTAGTCATAATAATGTAAATATTGATTACTGAGTTAGTTAAAAATGTGATACATGTCCATGAAATGGAGGGTGGGACACAGGGTCACAGTGGAGTGAGGAAGCTCAGCTTATACCTGCTGTGACAGGAAGTCAATGGATAGTGCTAAAAATTGACATAGTTGTTATCACTGTTACTTTGATTTAAAAAAAGATTATAATCTCCAGGTGGAAACATTTTTTAAAAGATGATTAAAGAATGAAAGCAAAAATATTGAAGGAAATCTTTATATCACAATTGAGTTATCAAAATTTAGCTTAAATGTCAGAAACCCTTAAAAAGTGGGCACTACTATGCCAAAGACTTTCCTATATAAATTTGATACTTAGAAAAATAGAAGAGATTTAGAAAATCCACAAAATGAGGTCCATGCTAACAGTACTGGGTCCCCATTACATTTTTAAGGAATCATGACAGACATACTTTTAATTCAAACTATTAATGTCTTAACTTTGCAACTGTTTACTTACATGGTTTAAATGGTTGCTCTTCCTCTTTTCTCGCACTAAGAATAAAAAAAATTAACTGATCAATTCTGATATAAATATCATAGAATAAAAGTAGTTGCTAATTATGGGATGAATTACCAATATATAAAATGAGATAAAATACCATTCTATTTTTTAAAATAATTTCCAACAAAATTTATAATTTAAATCATCTGGCAAGATGAATCTCAAAGTAAAATCTAAAAACTTAGTTTTACTTTTTGATCTAACGGATATTCTATTACACACAAATGAAATATTTTCCATGTAGAGAAAAGAGAAAAGGGCAAAACAAATTAGGCCAGATGAGAAATTCAGCTAATAAAAAAGTTTACCTGTTGCATATTTAAACCACTACCCAGCAGTAGTGGTTCCTAATTCTACATTTATACACAGGTTACTTTCATTACCCAGATCTAACAGTTGACAGCTCTAAGAACCTGTTTCCGGCCAGGCACCAATCCCTCAATACACCTGAATTCCCAAAAGCATCCTGGACTTATTGGTAATCTGTTACTGAAAAAATGAGTCTTTACATAACTGGAAAGCAACTTATCTTAAATTGAAATTTTAAAGTGAGTGTGCTAATCTAATTGAACATAGTAACTACAGCACACAAAATAACTTTGTTCTAACAAAGGCCAGAAGAGTAAATGATCCAAGAGGGACTTGGGCTGCACTTTGTTCCCCATGCTGCCTCCTCCTTTGATGCTGGACAGCATCACAGGCACACATTCCTTCCCACTGAAGAGAGAGAGGCATAGGATAGCTTTTATTTTCCTGCTTCCACACATCTATGTGTGAGAAGCTCATGGGAGAAACTGAGAAATACAGCAATCCCAACCAGAAATGACTGGCTCAAGACAAGCAAATTACAAACTATGAAAATGCAGGTTAGACATCTCGTTTCTTCATTTCTGAAGGATAGCAAAAAAAAAAAAAAAAATACCTCCCATTTTTTATTGTGCTGCATTACTTCAAATATTATTATAAAACCCTTAGTTCTTGTATTCTTGCTATTGAGATCAACTGAAAAACTTGGTTCTGTATGGCTTTTTAGCAAATAGACCAAGATTTAACATAACATTAAGGAAAATAAGTAGTGCAGAAAAATCCTGCAGGTCTGATTCTCATCTTAAAACAAGCCAGCAGGACATATAAACTTTACACTAGTTTCACTTGCTGAGTCTAACCTTCTGGGAAACACCACAGGGCATGTTTACATTTACATTACATTAGGATGAAAAGGTTCTGAACAGCTTAAAAGTTCTGAGTAGTATAAATTTGGATGTGACAGGCTCATTTGGTTAGATCACTGGTTAAAAGAGGCCAAAATGACAGTTTCAGTCCCCCCATGTGAACTGATATTTTTTATTTGTTCAAATGAAAACCTAATTGCAGTCTAAATCCTACTGTTCATGTTTCAAATGTGCTCTTTGGAGCAGAAGAAAAAGGGCAAAGAAGTATGAAGAAGTAGGGATAAATCCAGGACCATTTCTAAATCATGTGACCAAGTGTGTTGATAAAGTGGCAAAGTGTGTAAACAGAAAATCTACCTACATGTTCTCACGAAAGGAGTGACAACTAAAGGAAAGTGTATCACATATTAAAATAAGACAAGTGAATATATAAAAAGTTGAAAAACTGAAAGTAGTGAGTTCTTCTAAATACTGTCTATAATATATCCTGTAAGATAGAAACTGTTCTCAGTCTTTTCCTGGAGGAAAAAAATATTGTCTTACCATCTGTTTGAGATTTGCTCAGGAAAATTGTGCTTGCCCTTGGATGGTCAGAAGGATTTGATTCCAAAGCTAAATCTGTAGAAGAAGAAGAGAAAAAAGATGTGATAATTTAAGTGAGTAGAAAATTTTTTAAGTAGCTACATATTGACAGGCTCGGTGGCTTGTGTCTGTATTCCCAGCACTTTGGGAAGCTGAGGCAGGAGGATATAGTTTGAGCCCAGGAATTTGGGGCTGCAGTGAGCTATGACTGTGCCACTGAAATCCAGCCTGCATGACAGACCAAGACTTGGTCTCAAAAAAAAAAAAAAAAAAAGCACACAAATAACTTTGTTCTAACAAAGCCAGAAGAGTAAATGATCCAGAGGGACTTGGGCTGCACTTGTTCCCCATGCTGCCTCCTCCCTTGATGCTGGACAGCATCAAGGCACACATTCCTTCCCACTGAGAGAGAGAGGGCATAGGATAGCTTTTATTTTCCTGCCCACACATCTATGTGTGAGAAAGCTCATGGGAGAAACTGAGAAATACAGCAATCCCAACCAGAACAT